ATCCCCTGTTTGGACATGCAGTATGAAGCTTGCCTGGCACAGTGAGACAGTCTAGATTCTATTTCTAGCACTTCTCTGTCAACTTGCTGTGTGTCTTTGGGCAAGCCACTTAACCAGTGATCTTACTTCACACTTAAATGGAGAGAGAGCCCCTAGACACACATTCCAGGGACCCGCCTCCTGCATGTTCTCAAGAGTGGCTGTGCTGACCCCCGACCCCACATCATTTACTTTGACTTCAGATAACTGGTTAGAAAACATTAACTATCCTGATTTTACACTTTAAAAGCTTTGGGTTTTGCAACGTTTTTTTTCTTAGTCCTACTTTCCCTTTCTGCCTGTTCACCTTCATGTAACTGGGAGATATTAATAAAGTGCATTTAAATATTAGAGAAAATAATATTTTCTTACATTGAATATTGTGCTTCCTATTTCCTACTAAAAGGCAGCTGAAGTAATCCTTCACCATGTTTGACACACACCTCTTTTTCACAAAATGTACACATCCCTAGGCTGTTTATCATAAGGCTCAAGCATGTTTTGGCAAAGACAGGCTGCTGAGTTTTACTGAACTTCAGCTAGATATAATTGTAAATTGTGACAACTTTACAAGATTAGTTAGGTAATTTTTTTTTTTTAATTCAGCAACTGCTGAAAAGCCTACAAAGCAATTCCAAAATAAAAGGAAGCTAGTAGCTGTAACCACTTATTTCTTTGATTTTCTAGCTGCATTTGGGTCTAAGGGCATTACAGGCTAGTTGTTGACATGTATTATTTCCTCAGAAACCCTTAAATGGATTGATAAGATCCTGTGCAGCTAGCATATCTTAACTTGGGTTTGTCCTAATAAGGTTATCCCTTTTCTGCCACACAAAAGGCTTAGTAGTAGTTTACAAAATAAGGAGCAGGGTGATAAAAAAACCATTTGAGCGTGAAGAACTCTCCTGGGTTCCTGTCTGTATGGGTCATTTGTCTGAACATCCAACACTGATTCTCAGCACCACTTTTCTTATTCATCTTTGCCTGCTTGGTCCTCTCCAAACACATGAGAATGATGAGCTCTTCTCCCAATGTTAGGCTGCCGGGGCCTGAGCCACATGCACACATCAGGAATTTGAGGAGGCAAAGGAGGAGGGTATATTCCAAGTCCATATGGTTCTGTAAGGCTGGGCTCATACTCGTTGGTGCTGCTTTGGATAGTGAAGCTCAGCCACTCCTCAGGACCATTTTAATTCCAACTCAGCGAGTTACTGCTACAGAGTAGCAAAGGATAGCCTGGCTTCATCATGAGTAATAATGAGTCACATGAGTCCTTCTTGCAGCAGAATTTTCAAGACTCTGCTACTCAGGTTGTTTTTCTTTCTCAGAATATCATCCTATGAGTTTTCAGAAAATGTTTTGGGTAGTGATCTATTCATGATAAATGGTTAGAGTTGATGTGCACTGAGTTAGGAAGGAAAAGGTAATGGACAATCTTTACTGTAAGCTGTGGAGCGGGTTATCTAGCAGCATACCAGTGAGTTACAGTTACTTTGCTTTTCATTGACACTTAGTAGCTAGCATAGAATGAGGTTAGTACTAATGCATATACTGTAGATAACAAGGAAATGGAATTTCTGAATATTAGCATGAGAAAGATATGTATATTTAAGTGTTTTTAAATTACTTTGTTGGGACAAACATTAATTAGCCATAATCCCACTAAAAAAACTATTAATGTTTGAGTGATTATGCTTTCAGATTTTTTTCTGTGTATGTTTGTGCATAGAATAATGGTAGCTTGAATTGAGTCTACTGTGTGCTCACAGCAGCCCCATGAGGTACATAGGTACTTAATTGTATTTTCCTACAACTTTTTCTTTTTCTTTTTTTTTGAGACAGGGTCTCACACTGTTGCCTAGGCTGCAGTGCAGTGGCACAATCTCAGCTTACTGAAACCTCCTCCCGGGTTCAAATGATTCTTGTGCCTCAGCCTCCCAAGTAGCTTGGATTGCAGGCTTGTACCACCATGCCTGGCTAATTTTTTGTATTTTTGTAGAGAGGGGATTTCACCATGTTGGCCAGGCTTAGTCTCAAACTCCTGGCTTCTAGTGATCCACCCACCTCAGCCTTCCAAAGTGCTGGGATTACAGGCGTGAGCCACCAAGCCCTACCTATTCCCCCCATGCCTTTGTTTTTTTTGAGACAGAGTTTCCCTCTTGTCCAGGCTGGAGTGCAGTGGTGCCATCTTGGCTTACTGCAATCTCTGCCTCCTGGGTTTAAGCAATTCTCTTGCCTCAGCCTCCTGAGGAGCTGGGATTACAGGCACTCGCCACCACCATGCACAGCTAATTTTTTTTATTTTTAGTAGAGACAGGGTTTCACCACATTGGCCAGGCTGGTCTCAAACTCCTGACCTTAGGTAATCCACCCACCTCGGCCTTCCAAAGTGCTGGGATTATAGGTGTGAGCCACTGCACCCAGCCCTATTCCCCATTTTGTTAGGAAGAAACAAGTCTGGAGAGCATAAGTGACTTGCTATGGTCACATAACTGAAGAATGATGGCCCATTGGGATTTAACACAGCTGGTTCCATGGTCCACGTTGTTTTATTTTGATTTTTTTTTTTTTTTTTTGAGATGGAGTCTTGGTCTGTCACCAGGCTGGAGTGCAGTGGCACAATCTTAGCTCACTGCAACTTTTACCTCTGGGTTCAAGTGATTCTTCTACCTCGCCCTCTCAAGTAGTTGGGACTACAGGCGCGTGCCACCACACCCAGCTAACTTTTCTATTTTTAGTAGAGATGGGGTTTCACCATGTTGACCATGATGGTCTTGATCTCTTGACTTCATGATCCACCTGCCTTGGCCTCCCATAGTGCTGGGATTACAGGCGTGAGCCACCACACCTGACCATGTTTTGCTTTTAATCATCATTTCAACAATTTAGACTTTGCCTATTGTTGCTTTTTTAAGAAAATTTACTTCTAGTAAACTTTTTTTTTTTTTGAGACGGAGTTTCGCTGTTGCTACCCAGACTGGAGTGCAATGGCATGATCTCGGCTCACCACAACCTCTGCCTTCTGGGTTCAAGCAATTCTCCTGCCTCAGCCTCCCAAGCAGCTGGGACTACAGGCGCGCACCACCGTGCCCAGCTAATTTTTGCATTTTAGTAGAGACGGGGTTTCACCATGTTAACCAGGATGGTCTCGATCTCTTGACCTCGTGATCCACCCGCCTCGGCCTCCCAAAGTGCTGGGATTACAGGCTTGAGCCACCGTGCCTGGCCTTCTAGTAAACTTTTTTTAGTGTACAGTTCTTTTAAGTTTTGACATCATCTTTTTTTTTTGTTAAGGAAACTTTCATATAAGTTTGTAATCTACTTATTTTACTTAGTTATCACCTTTCCTTTCAAATACATTGCTTTAACATAATTTTAACGGCTGTCAAATAGCTAACACTATCTGTTATGGGTTTGACATGACTTAACTAATTTTAATCCTTAGAAACAATTCTATGAGGTACTTACTGTTATCCCTGTTTTTGTAGATGAGGAAACTGGGGCACAGAGAGGTTAAGTAGTTCACCCCAAGTCACAGAGGAGGGAAGTGGCAGAGCTAGGATTCAGACATGGGCAGGCTGACTCCAGAGCCTGTACTCCTGAGTCTTACATGATGGTATATCTTTACACTGTATCGATGTACTGTAATTTATTTAGCCAGTCCCTTATTTTAGATGTTTAGATTGTTTCTAGTTCTTCATCTTAAGCAGTGTTTTTGTATTTAAGTCTTGTTTGCCCCTCTAATTATTTTCTTAGCATAAATTCTCACAGATGGAATTGCTAGATCAATGGACATACAGTTTTCAGGGTTCTCTTGTCCTCCAGAAAAGTTGTTTACTTTTACTTTTCACTGCTGCAGAATGAATTTTCTGTGCAGTGGGTATGTTCCCTACACTTTGCCAACACCATGCATTACCTTCTTTTGACTCTTGTTAAACTAATAGGTGAAAAGGGTTACTAGTGAAGTGGTCATTTTTTCACACTTATTTCTTTGTCAACTGCCTATTTTTCTGTGTTGCCATTTTTCTGATGGAGGTAGGTATAGGTTTAACTGTTAGGACTCGAGAATAGTCTCTGCTAGTTGTGCTGTTAGCCTTTCAGTCTAGGGACAATTCTGTGGCCCATGCACAGCAAAGCAATGCAGAGCTCTTTGCTCAGAGTCTCTGTCAAATGAACAGGTTGATTCCACAAGCTGCCTGCAGAAATTTGGTCTTGTTACCTCATAGTGAGTAGGTCATTAGTCTCCAATGAAAGTTCTTCATGACCTCAGCAGATGGAAATCTGGTTTAAAATTGTGGTTATGTGCCCTGTCTTAAATGTTAGTGAATTTTGTGGAGAAGGTTTCCTGCCAATGACTAATAAGAAATGTTGGGAAAATGTAACATTTTCATTCTGGCATTTAATTATTAAAATTTAATGTCTCAACAACATGCTTTTGAGCATTTGGCATAGATGACAGTGCTGTTGAAATGAAATAGTGTGATTAAATACCAGTCATTATTGCTTTCTATATCTGCAAATGGAAGAATTCAGATCATCAGTGACCCAATTACTATGTATAATACAAATCCTTTTTCTTTCCCCACCATGTTAACCCTGATCAGGATATTACTGACATTCATAGAGGATGTGGAGCATAAGAAAGAAAGGTCCTGTTTAGGCAGGAGATTCAAATTATGGTGTGTGCCCTTTAGGGTTACGTGGTTAAAATGTGTGTGCAAAGTCAGCCTAGGAAGAAAAAATAAATGGAGATGATTTTTGTTTCTAGGTAGCAGCACTGCCTGCATTGTGGTGCTGGACAGAACCAGCCACCGCTTACACACGGCGAACCTGGGCGATTCAGGCTTCCTGGTTGTCAGGGGTGGTGAAGTTGTGCACCGATCAGATGAGCAGCAGCATTACTTCAACACTCCATTCCAGCTCTCAATCGCTCCCCCCGAAGCTGAGGGAGTCGTCTTGAGTGACAGGTAATCTCCCCTCTCAGCCATTAAGCGTGAGCAGGACGTGGCTCATTCATAGTCCCCTCCTGTCCCCCTTGAATGCAGTGGGGTAGACATGTCCATGAAAAGAAGACACTGAGAATGTTCTCATCAAGAGGACCTTTTAGTTTGACTTCGGAAGATATTTTGCTGGAACCAGATAATTTAGCCAAATGGAATTCTGATAAACACCCAGTAATTTGACAAGACTGTCAAAATACTATTTCAGGCTTACAGAATATCAGTTTTTCATATCAACACCACATGATACATACAGTACATTTATTGTGCTGGAGAAATGAGTCATTGTTCATACATGCCATTGCTTGTACAAGATTTTGCATACATTGTTAGGGAAGAGCACAAACAGACATCTGCATTATTTGTCAGAATACCTTCCTGATTCTCTAGACCTCTTATACATGCATCAAATAGAACTTTTAGGAAACAGAATCAAAATGGTCTTGAGTGGCTGGGTGCAGTGGCTCATCCTTATAATTGTAGCACTTTGGGAGGCTGAGGTGGGCGGATCACTTGAGGCCAGGAGTTCAAGACCATCCTGGCCAACATGGCGAAACCCCGTCTCTACTAAAAATGCAAAAATTAGCTGGATGTGGTGGCAGGTGCCTGTAGCCCCAGCTACTCAGGAGGCTAAGGCAAGAGAATTGCCCGAACCTTGGAGGTGGAGGTTGCAGTGAGCCAAGATCACGCCACTGCACTCCAGCCTGGTTGACAGAGTGAGACTCTGTCTCAAAAAAAACAAAAACAAAAAAACCAAAATGGTTTTGAGCTGGGCACAGTGATGCAGGCCTGTAGTCCGAGCTACTCAAGGGGCTGAGGCTTGAGAATTGATTAAGTCCAACCTGGGCAACATAGCGAAACCCTGTCTCTTAAAAAAAAAAAAAAAAAGTGGTCTTGGATATGTTCTTTGACAATGTTATTGAGGTGTTCTCTATTTCTTCCTCACATTCTTACTCAGTTCATTTTTAAATTGTCAAGAATCTTCCAATACAGTCCTTATTTTATTTTATTTTTTGAGACGGAGTCTTGCTCTTGTTGCCCAGGCTGGAGTACAATGGCACGATCTTGGCTCACTGCAGCCTCTGCCTCCTGGGTTCAAGTGATTCTCCTGCCTCAGCCTCCTGAGTAGCTGAGATTATAGATGCCCACCACTATGCCTGGCTAATTTTTATATTTTTAGTTGAGATAGAGTTTTGCCATGTGGGCCAGGCTTGTCTTGAACTCCTGACCTTGTGATCCGCCTGCCTTGGCCTCCCAAAGTGCTGGGATTACAGGTGTGAGCCACCATGCCCAGCCAAAATGGTGCTTTTTTGAGTTGACTTTTAGTTTATCTTTTCTTAGATGAGTGTCAGAAGAAGGCAAAGACAGCCTCAGATTTTAGTGTGTTTAAGTCTTACAGCTTTTAGGACCTGGCACAAACATCGATTTGTAGTTCATAAATGTCGATTAACGGACAATGAACCTTTTGTAAAAATAGAAGCATTCTAGCAAGTACTTGTCTCTACTTAATAACTCTCATTAAACCAGCTCTTAGGTCCAAACTAAGATAAAATGAATTATCAGTACCATCTTTTAAACCGGAATGAGCATGTTATATAATTAAATATTCAGTATTGCCCATCTAAAAAGTAACTTTAGCGGTAAAAGTAACTGTTACCAGTAAATATTCTTCCAATTATGGTCACCCACCTAAATCTGAAAGTAAAAAGTAAAAGTAGGTGGGTGACCATAATTGGAAAAGTAATTGATTCTAGGCCCTTCTTAAGTTGGCTGTAATCTACATTATTAGCCACACTGGAGTGGGGAGAACATTGAATGCCAAGGCCTCCGTAGAGACCAAGCTCAGATCACAGTTTTTGGAGACAGGTCCTATAATTTTTTCTTCATTTGATTCTTCTTGTTGGGCTTCCAAGGGCCGGAGCAGTCCTGCTGTATCTCACACGCTGTCTTTGGGACAGACAGGTCGGGGCAGCACTCTGCTGGCATGCCAGCAAGGTGGAGGTGGCCTCCCCTGGAGCCCAGAGACAGCTCGCTAGCATGTGATTTCAGCTCATGTTTCAATGCAGTCAAAAGTTTCCAGCAGCACAGTATGTTCAATCAAAATGGGCAAAACTGCAGCTGGCGGAACACCAAGCTCATGGGTGGGAGTGTTAGGAGAGGACGAACTGTCCAATGGGAGCAAGACTTTCACAGACAGAATAGCAAAGGACGCTCCTGGGGAAAGAAAAACCTCAGCATAAAACAGAGCTTCAGTGCCGGTCTGGTCATTAATCTACACTTCTAGAATCTGATTAGCTTTCAAAGGCCAAGCAGATGAGAGCATCTTGCATTGTTTTCTCTTTATTCCACAGAAAGAATTGACCTAATTTCCCTCAGTTTTACAGTCTTTTTTTTTTTTCCGTGCTGCATGTGTCTCCTTAGTTACTGGTCCCTCTTATCTACAGAATATTATTTTAACTTCAACTTACAGGTTTTCCTTTAGTAGACGTTTTTACAAAATGTTGATTATCTAAATGTGTAAGTGAAAGTTGGTTTCCTGCAGCAGCACATGGCAGAACTTTACATGTGCCACCTTTTTTCCTCAGTCAAGTGAAGATGAACCAGAAATTTTCTGATTGCACTTAGTGTGAATCCCCTAGGCATGTGTGCTTTTGTTCATTTTTACACTCTTTCTTCACAAATCTTGTCACATTGCTTACACAAGTGTTGGGGTTTTTCCATCAAGCTCAGGGTGCTTTTGAGTTTGGTGCCTCCCTTCCAGGTCAGTATCTGATTTGTTTTCCTGGCTCTTATTCCTTAATTACAGGTTAAGGCAGATTATTAGATCTCACCTTTCCCTCCCCATGGAGGCCTGAAGCAGTGAAACTGGCCTTAAGAAGTCGCCAAGGATCAACCTCAGGAGGCCATGATCTCTGAATATATGATCTTTTCTCTCCACCCATTTTTATGTCTGTTTTCATCACGAATTGTCAGAAAAAAAGATCTCCCATCTGGTTTTGTTTTGTTTTTTAAGAGTTGTACACAAAAAAGTTTAGTGAGACATCTGCCTCCTGTTCCTGCCCTCACCACATACTCTCTCCTCAAAGGTAGCCGCTATGAGCAGTTTCTTTTTATTTTGGAGACAAGAGTCTTACTCTGCCACCCAGGCTATAGTGCCATAGTGCAATCTTGGCTCACTGCAACCTCTGCCTCCCAGGCTCAAATGATTCTCCTGCCTCAGCCTCCCAAGTAGCTGGGACTGCAGGTGTGCACCACCACGCTCTAAGTTTTTGTATTTTTTAGTAGATACAGGGTTTCACCATCTTGGCCAGGTGACCTCAAGTGATTCGCCTGCCTTGGCCTCCCAAAGTGCTCCCATAGCCACCACACATGGCCTGCTATGAGCAGTTTCTTTGATTTTCTCCAGATTTATTCTCTGCATATAGAAGCATCTCTGTGTCTTTCTGCCTTTTTAAAAAATGGAAATGGTTGCACATACTACACACCTAACACACCGTCTGCACTTTGTTTTCTTCAACAGTATATTGAAACGTTTTTTTCTCCAATTTGGAGAGTCATCTGTTTTGCTGCTTCACTCAGTTACACAACAGATATTCTTTCTTTCTTTGTTCCTTCCTTCTTTCTTTTTTTCTTTTCTTTCTTTCTGAGATGGTGTCTCACTCTTTCGTCCAGGCTGGAGTGCAAGTGGCACCATCTCAGCTCACTGTAACCTCCACGTCTGGGGTTGAAGCAAGCAATTCTCCTGCATTAGCCTCCTGAGTAGCTGGTATTACAGACATGTGCCACCATGCTTGGCTAATTTTTGCATTTTTAGCAGAGATGGTGTTTCACCATGATAGCCAGGCTGGTCTTGAACTCCTGACCTCAAGTAATCCGCCTGCCTCTGCTTCCCAAAGTGCTGGGATTACAGGTGTGAGCCACTGTGCCCGGTTAAGATATCAAGATATTTTTTGAGGACCTGTTATGCCAGGCACACTAATAAATATCCATGCATGATGAGCATTTTGGGGCCTGAGGAGACACACAGTCCTTACTATGCCCGAACACGGTTGATATTTCAAGTGAATGAATTCTTATAGGATTGGCATGTCGTTCTCCATGGGTACTCATCATCGCACCCTCACTATGGCATGGGTCCCTGAGAGCCAGATTCAAACGTACAAGGAAACTGATGAGTGAAAAATGTGAATAAGAGAGGGTGGGCTAGTCCAGTGGCTCATACCTATAATCCCAGCACTTTGGGAGGCTGGGGCACACTGATCACCTGAGGTCACGAGTTTGAGACCAGCCTGGCCAATTCGGCAAAACCCTTTCTCTACTAAAAATGTTAAAAAATAATAATAATAAGCTGGGCATGTTGGTGCATACCTGTAATCCTAAAGGCACTATCTTACGTGCCTGTAATCCTAGCTACTTTGGAGGCTGAGACAGGAGAATTGCTTGAACCTGGGAAGCAGAAGTTGCAGTGAGCCAAGATCACACCATTGCACTCCAGCCTCGATGACAGAGTGAGACTTGTTTTCACAAAAAGAAAAAAAAAAAAAAGGAGAGAGTGGAATTTGGCTGTAAAGAATTAGGAATAAAGGCTCATTTCTGCTAGGATTTTAGAGGTATGTTAGATCTAACTCAGAAGAGAACCCTTCCCCCTTCTCAGCCACTTGTGACCAATTATCAGACTTGGTTTTACTTGGTAGTTTCAGTTAAGATTTTGAAACATTAATATTAGAGTTTTCAGTTAACTGTTTTCAGGGTTGGGAGTTTCAGAATGACTTTTTTAAAAAATTGACTCCATTGGGAGGCTGAGCCAGGAGAATTGCTTGAACCTGGGAGGCAGAGGTTGCAGTGAGCAGAGATTGCACCATTGCATTCTAGCCTGGGCAACAAGAGCAAAACTCTGTCTCAAAAAAAAAAAATTGACTCCATTATTATAAATCAGTTTTTCTTGCAGAAATCTTATTGCATTGGAAAATAATACCTGTAGGACATTTTGAACCCATCTCTAAAGGGCCTTCTTAACTTTGTCCTTCCTCTGTCCTTGCCACAGTCCGGATGCTGCTGATAGCACGTCTTTTGATGTTCAGTTAGGAGATATTATCCTGACGGCGACAGATGGACTCTTTGACAACATGCCTGATTATATGATCCTTCAGGAGCTAAAAAAATTAAAGGTAATTAACTCAAAGGTTAGCTCTTGGGAAGAGTGACCTTCTCTGGAGAGCTGAGGTTAATTGATTCAGTTGCATTAGCTCTTTATAGTTTTGGAAAGAACTATTTTGTGAATTCCAGGAAAATAATAATAGCTCTGGTCTTTCAAACAGTTGTAAATGGAAATACTCATAATTGGAGTAATTGGAAAAAGAAGCTTCCTACTCAGGTTTTTCATAGGCTGGTAAAAGTAGGAAAAGTCTAGATGAGGGCATTTCTTGTTTGTATCTTTATTTGTATTTTAATGGTGTCTAATGGTGTTGGGTCCTGGTTGTCTTTTTCTTCTTTTATTCTAACACACCAGCAGGTGTTCAATCAGGCAGATAAGAAATAGTCATGCCAGAGCCCACCAAGGGCAGTAGGCCGCTAGAAGCCTCAGTGTGACTTGAGCTGCCACCAGTAAGCAAATAGTTAGGCTTGTCCCATAGAGAGAGGAAGGAGGTGAAAACTAGGCTTTCCATTTTTTCCCGGCTTTGTGAAGTGGACCTCGTGTTCCCATTCCCATTTTGCAGATGAGGAAGTTGGAGCAGCAGGGATAAGGGTGTGGCCCAAGATTACATAGCTAGACGGGAATATCCTCATGATATAAAATTCTGAAGGTATCTTCACTAGAGCAATTGGCAACTCTTACTTGGAGAGCAAACTGGGGTTGGCCAGCATGTGTTCCTAAGCAGGGAGACTTTTGAGGTCATCCTTCAAAGGCTATCAGAAGCTTCCATTTCAATTCATCCTATTTTAGCAAGACTACCTTTAGAATTTCAAATGGGGAAAAAAGCAAAAATGAACATTCAAACTTTAGGGCTCAAGGCCACCATAGCAAAGGAGTTACTGATATCTTGTGTAGGCAGCACTGGTGTCTTGTTCATATTAGCCAGGGCATAATGTTTTAATGTCTTTTCTAACTAGAATAAAACTTAAATGATGGAAAAAGTGGTTAGATAAATGTTACTGTCTCGAGCATTATGGTAAAATAACTTCCTCATGCTTTATCTTAGAATTCAAATTATGAGAGTATACAACAGACTGCAAGAAGCATTGCTGAGCAAGCTCATGAGCTGGCCTATGACCCAAATTATATGTCACCTTTTGCACAGTTTGCATGTGACAATGGATTGAATGTGAGAGGTAAGCATTCTTTGGGAAGGTCATAGGGACTGGCTAGGGACATGGTGTCAGTAGAGTGGAGCATTGTGAGCTCTGTGTGAGACTGTGGAGGTGTTCTCTCCCAGCCAAGCTGTGCACTGGTGGCTTTCAGCAAGGTCAGGAGGGTGAGAGCAAGTGCATGTCGTCACGTCTTCCCCACACAGGATGCCCTTCAGAACCAAACCTCATTGGCTGCAGAGGAAGGTGGAACCTGAAGCCTTTTATTGCCACCACCGCAATGCTTGGACCTGAGCCCAAAAGGCCTCCAAGCTATGGCCAGAGTGCCTGGACATTCCTAACAGTTTAACATTCTGCCTTTCACGTGGCTGACATTTCACTTCTCCCTTCCTCTGGCTTTGTGGGACTCAACAGTATTTGCCTGCCAAATTGCCACAGCAAGATTTGAAGAGGGAAGCAATGTGAAACTGCCCTTGATTGAAGAGTTGTCCTATCTACTGCATGGTGTGTGACTTTGGGAGCAGGCCAGTGGCTCTGTCTTAGGGCTGGGATGACATGTTGGTGCTAGTGTATCAGAACTAGTAGAATTAGTTTCTTGTTGATAAAATTTTATGGTATGTAAAACATTTCTTAGCCCTCCAGGAAATGTTAAAATAGAAAAGTGCATGCCATAGCTGTTTGGCAGATTAGAATACAAGGCTATTCCTAGTTTCAAAACATTGGATATGTTTGTCTAAATTAGGACTGTGGGTAGAAGCATGTAACTTTCTCGTCAGATTCATTGTGATTGATGTGAACAGAGGGTGTGGTGGCCATTTGACAGAGGTCCTGTTGTAAAGGAGCAGGGAAGATTTTTTTTTTTAAGCTTCAGTTTCATGTAATTTCTTGGCATTTTGTTAAACTGCTTA